GCACGAGCCGCGATCCAACCGCATCCCAAAAAAACCCCCCTGGCCGCGGTTCCCGGCCGCTCCCTGGCGGCGGAGCGCGGGAAGGGCTCTCGGGGAGGATTCCCGGCGGGAATTCCCGGCGGGATGGGGGTTTGGGATCACCTGCTCGGCGAAGCTGTCGATGACGGCGAGGTGCGATCCCAGCTCCTCGCACTGAGCCTTGGCCCGGAACCAGCTGGCGCGGCCCAGCGAGAAATAGTAACAATTCCCAAGGAAATATTCCCATTCCCGGGAATCCGGCCCGCAGGGAAACACTGCGGGGACACCCGGGGGGCGGGATCAGCCGGGAAAAGGGGGATTTCCGGGGGGAAAGGGGGATAAAAGGGGCAGGAAGAGCTCGGGGGGGGTTGGGGTGTGGAGGTTTTATTCCCGGGGAAAATAGGGAATGTTGGGATCGTGGGGGTTTTGGGGGGAAATGGGATTTTTTCCCAAAGGGTTCAAGTGTTAAGTGGGAGTTTTGCCAAAGTTTTAAAGGGCTCAATGGGATTTTTTTCCAAAGGGCTCAATGGGATTTTCCAAAGGGTTCAATGGGATTTTCCAGAGGGGGAAATGGGAGTTTTCCAAAGGGTTAAATGGGATTTTCCAGAGGGTTCAATGGGATTTTTCCAAAGGGTCGAATGGGATTTTCCAGAGGGTCAAATGGGATTTTCCAAAGGGTTTAATGGGAGTTTTCCAAAGGGTTTAATGGGATTTTTCCAAAGGGCTCAATGGGTTTTTCCAGAGGGTCAAATGGGATTTTTCCTAGTGTTCAATGGGATTTTTCCAGAGGGTCAAACGGGATTTTCCAGAGGGTTCAATGGGATTTTTCCCGAGGGGCAGGAGTTTGGAGGGAACTGGGGAGGATTTCGGGATTTAGGGAATATCCAGAGGGGCAGGGAAGTGTCGAGGGGTTGGGAAAACTCCAGGACTTACGGAGAGAATCCCGGTTGGAAAAGTTCTGCCCCCGCTCTGGATTCACCTCGTGGAGCTTGGAGGAAATGGCGGAAACTGGGAAAGGGGGAGAGACCAAAATGGGCCCAAATTGGGCGGAAAAATCGGATTATTGGGGGAAAAAAATCCCCCAAAACTGGGATTGTCGGGTTAAAAGTTGGGACGGGGAGGGAAGGGAGGGAGCAGGGACGGGGGGGTGGGATTTGGGATCTGGGATTTGGGGATTTGGGTGGGTAATCAGGGAATGGGGGGGAATAAATGGGTGGGAAAGTGGGATAATGGGATGGGAATGGTGGGAATGAGGGGATCAGGGAAGGAGGGACTCAGGGAAGGAGGGAATTGTGGCACCTCTGGAGAGGGAGAGGGCGCAGAGGGAGACGCTGAGCAGGAAGGAAAGGCCCAGCAGGACATAAACGGGCAGGAACGAGTGGAGCCAGCGCGGGAGGAGGGACCGGCCTGGAATTAAAATAAAAGAAATCAAATTGAAATAAAATAAAATAAAATAAAGCAGAAGAAATTAAATTAAAATAAATGAAAATTAAATAAATTTTTAAAAATAAAAAATAAATTAAATTAAAATAAAATAAATTAAATTAACATAAATGAAAATGAAATAAATTAAGATAAATAAAATAAATTAAATAAATAAAAATAAAATTAAATTAAAATAAATGAAAATTAAATAAATAAAATAAAAATATATTAAATTAAATTAAAATAAATTAAATAAAAATAAATTAAATAAATAAAAATAAAATACATTAAATTAAAATAAATGAAGATGAAATAAATAAAATAAAATAAATAAAATAAATAAAAATAAAATAAATTAAACTAAACTGAACTAAACCGATCAAAATAAGTAAATTAAAACGAACCAAAATAAAAACAGTAATAAATAATAAAATTATAAAACAAAATAATAAATGATGTCATGAATGGTGAATGAAAAAATGTTATTGTGAATAATAAAATAATTAAAAAATGGGAAGGGAAGGGAAGGGAAGGGAAGGGAAGGGAAGGGAAGGGAAGG